CTCGGGTCGCGGGGATCTCGGGGTGCAGGGATCTCCTGGTGCAGGAATCTCGGGGTGCGGGGATCTCGGGGTGCGGGGATCTCGGGGTGCGGGGATCTCGGGTCACCGGGACCTCAGGGCTGGGCGGGTCCTGACGCCCCTCTCTGCCCCGCAGTACGGGTTTGTGAACCACGCCCTGGAGCTGCTGGTGATCCGCAACTACGGCCCCGAGGTGTGGGAGGACATCAAGTAAGTGGCCGCGCCCCGCCCGCGCCCCCGTGGGTCACCGCCCCGCCCGCGAGCGTGGGAACCGCGCGGAGCCCGCGCTCCCAGCTCCCAGCCCTCCGGACCGAGCCGCTGGCCACGGGGCGGGGCGGCCTCTGCTGCCGGGCCTCGGGATGCATCTTCCCGCTTGGAAAATAGGAGGAGATCGGAATGCTTTCTCCTTAATTTCCGCAGTTCCTCCCTTCCTCCTTTATCATTCGACTATTTAGAATTTTTTTTTTTCTTTTTCAACTGTGATGCAGCCTAGGAGAGCATCCTAGTTTCTGTCTAGAGCTTCGGCCCAGACTCAAGGTGTGAGCAGCGATCCTACACCCACCTGTGCGTTCAAGCTCTGAAATAACGCATCCTGATGGGTGGGAACCACTGTGGGGCTTTTGAACTCTGCATTTAACCTGCTGCGTCGCTAGCCACCGGCTAGCTGTTCCAGGACCATATTTATACATTGTTATCCCAAGGGAGGTGGGCCGAGGAAAGGGCCACCTGGGTGGACAGGTGGAAATGTCTGTAGTAGCATATTGTGATTGCATTTTGTTATCTCAAGTAGTGTTGACTCCTTGCTATTTTTCTCTAAGCACGCGACTATTATTAGCCATCAGGTCTAACAGGCCTTTTTGTACAACCACACGACCGAGGTGATTCTACAGTTATTTGTTGCTATGGGAATGACTCGGGTCTTGAGCTTATAATTTATAAGCACAAGAACATCTCCTGGATCTGTATTATTGTCTCTTTCACGTTCCATAAATTATTTATGCCACCCTCAGAGCACATCCACCTATTACAGACAGAAGTCAATATTTGGCAATTATGTGCTTATGTAGTAAAGTTTACATTGAGATTTGAGTTTTTTCCACCTTATTAGTAACTTCATAATTTTTAGTTTGCTTGGTGGGCAAGTACAGAGGAGGCACACACCAAGGACGTGGCTTTAAGCAGAGTCATTAAAGTCTGGGCTTATTCTTAAACCACTTCCTTTGTGAATTTGTGCACGTAGCCCCCAGAGGATGTGTGGTGTTCTGTGAAATTCTCGTCTCCTGGTGGATGTACAATGACGGTTACAGTGTTTAGAATTTAAAGAGCACAGTGAAAGTGGCTGCTGAAAGCCATTATGTAATTTAAGCAGGTTTAGCATGTGTGTTCTACCCATGGTCAACTTGGATAGTTGGTAAATACAGAGATGAAAAATGTACTTCACAGGTATGTCAGAAAAAATTTTACAAATTAATTCATCGAGAAATTAGTTCATATTGGCCTTATGTTCCCATACAAGATCAAAAACTAAAAATACACAAATTTCATTGGTAACTGCCAAAAAGAATATTTTCACCTTCTACTTTAAACAGTTGCTTACTAATTTTAATTAAAGCACCGGTATCTTTCAACTCCTATTTATCTTTAACTTTGAACTCTATTCTGAAGCTGTAAGCTGTTCAAGTAATAATAACTGGAATCATCAATTTTTTTTGTAAATATAAAGTCATATGAGTATTTTTAAAATAAATTTATGGCAAGGATTATGCTCTTGCAAGCAAAATAGTGTTAGTGGATCCAGTGTTAGCACTCATCCAGGTGTTCGTGGGCATTCTTTTTTGAGTGTAGCGCTGCCGTGGGGGGTTGCAGCTGTTTTGGGTGCGGTTTAGTATCTGGGATGAAGAATAGGGTTCAGGCTCCTGCATTAGTGGGGTTAAGGCTGCTCACCGGTTCTCTGACTGTTCCCTGGAGAGATCCTTGAACTCCATGCCTGACCCTTTGCTTGCCATAGCCCAGACTCACTGCCTGGGCGGGCGGAGGAGAACGTGCAGGAACACGGTTAGAAAATGTTGCTGAGATGGTTCTGCTCCTCCTGCCCATTCAGCTGTCCTCTTCGAGGAAGCTTGCGCTGGCGTTGGTCCGGATGCTTTCGATTTTAACCTCTTATGAGAAACTGAATATACAAGAAAATATTTTTCTTTGTCTCAGTAAGGATGAGGCCCCTACTATCATCTTCTTCCTTTTTTTTCCCCCCTCTGTGAAAAATTACCTAAATGGATGTTTGTAAAATTTTATATAATACTTATCTGGTTTAGTAGGAAATGGCCATCATTCCTGCATGAGAAAGGATACCAAACATTTAATGACAAATAAAATCTGAAGTAACAGATTCCAGACAGAAAGGTTTTAACGGATAAGAGCCCAAAATGCTTCATTGTAAACTCAGCATCCACTTATACTCTTACCAACATACAACCACTCAAAACTGCTTTACATTTGTCTTTTTAAGAAAAGGAAGAACTGTCTGCTCCAGGAGCCAGTGAAGTGGCCCTTCGTGGGTCAGAGAGCGAGTGTTTTTAGGTGCTGTGGACTAAGTCAGAATTGAGGCTGTCGTGTAGGATCTGTGCAACTGTTACAGGGCACGGTGACCGGAAGGAAGGTAACACTCGGTGGGTTGGGCATGTCCCAGTGGCTGCAGTTTGCCCACTTTTTTGTCCCAGAAAAAGCAAAAGGAACCTTTAAACCTTCTTTAAATCTTACTTTGCAGATTTCCTTTCAGTTTTGAGATGGTGCCTTGAAAAGGGCTAGAAATGGACTGAAAAAGTTGAAAAATCTAACATGATCAAAACTATTATAAAACAAGGACTGAGATTTAACGTCAGCAAGCTTAGCATGTGCAAGGCCCTGGGTTTAATTCTAAACAATGCAAAACACACAACACAAAAAACCTGACCTGAACAAACAAACAAAACTGAAAACTGTAATTATTTGCCTACAATTGAACAGACCAGGGAACATTTTTTTTCAACTCTAAAGTGCTACACTGAGTATATTGATTAGCTTCTTCTGTTTTACTGAAAGTTCTGAGCTAAACAGTTGGGTCAAAATTTTGGCATGTGAGATATAAATTTGGTAATAATGTAATTATTGTGTTAGTGACAAATACAACAGTTAGTTCCTCTGGAAAGCTGACAGTCTTCCCTTTTGTAAGGAATAATGTTTGGTGGAGTATTTTCTGGTTTACTTACAATAGGCTATATTTTTTCATTCATGGGTTTGTTTTTTCATTTATTGTTAAGCTTGTCTTTAATGGGCATAATTTAATGTTTGAGCACCAGTCGCAGAAAAGCAAATGATGTAATCCTTGGCTTTATAACATCTAGAGATACCACAATACTTTCAATCTTATTAATTTTTTCTTTTTGGTACTGTGAGTTGAAATCAGGGCCTCACCTTATTAATTTTTTTAACTTTCTGTAACTCAAAAATGGAGACATTTTGACCGTTGAGAAGTACATACTGATTTTCCAGTTTTGACATCAGTGTATCAACTTGTTTTTAGTAATCATAATTGGGTGTCCTGGTTGAAATACACGGACACTTTATGGTAAACTCATTCTGTGCCTTTTAGGTTGCATGAACTCTTCAAATCTCAGCTGTGTAAGGAAGAGGGTAGTGCCTACTTTGTGGGCGTGGTGCAATACATTGAATAATGCTGGCCAGACCTTGAACACTGTTCTTCAATAGCTGCTCAACGTAGCTATTATTTTTCATTTTACTTTAGAATGAGAGGATTTCAACTTTTCTCTCTCCCTGATCTTTTCTCAGTAGTAGTGGCCTGAAGCTGTGGGTAGCTAAGAGGTGGCGTGCTGGCCTCGCACGCACGACCCCAGGGTTTCTTTCCCAGTACCAAAAAGTCATCCTTTGTGATCTACACGGGCCGTCAGTCTAAATGTTCTCCGGCCACGCTATCACTGTGGAATCTGTAATGACTTCACTGTTGTTTGCTATTGCTCTGTCTCCGTTGTACATGCTATGCAACTAGTGACGCTACTTTTTTTTAATGATAGCTTTATTGGACTAAAATTTGGCTGTAATACAATTTACAAACAAAAAGTTCAGTGCAAGATTCATTAGATTTTAGCACATTGACAAAGTTGTACCACCGTGAGTACAATCAAATTTAGCTCTTTTTTGTATCCCCGCCTGTCCTGTGTCAGACTTGTCCCTTTCCTCGCCATCCTGCAGACTGTGGCAAACATTATTCCCATCATGCTGGGTTCCCACTGAGGTTCTCCTTCAGCATTGGTCTTACATTATATTTTTGATGCTCTTCCCTGCCCTCAGTGCTTAGTTATTGTGTTAGAAAATCCCACGCATGCTCTTAATATTCATTTTATCAAAAGAAATTAAAATAAGCAAATAGTGCACTTTTGCCCTTGTTTTGTAAGATTCTCCTACTTGGGAAGGTGTAGGTTTGCATACATCTCCATACCTGTGCTCAGGAGCAAACCCATGTAGCTTTGAATTGCTAACAGCACTCTATATTACAAAGCTGTGTGAAATTTTGGAAGTCCTTTACTCTTTGTAATTTCAGTTGCGTGTTATGATACCCATTTAAAATACAAAAAGACTGCCTAGCTCAGTTTTTTAATTTGCAAGGTGTTGCTTGCAGAATTCCATACAGAAAGTTGAAGAGTGAGAACTTCAACTCTGCTCTCCTGATGCCGGGCTTAATACTTCCCTTAAAATAGAAATGTGGGGGCTGTGGGGGGAGTAGCTCAGTGGCAGAGCCCTTGCCTAGCATGTGTGAGGCCCTGGATTCAACCCCCAGTTTATCACAAGATGAATATGAGGTAGAATCTAATGTAGCGTATGTTAAAAATTGAAACCATATCAATTTTCATGCTCAAAGATTAGCTCAGAATGAATAAACTAATATGCAGATAAAACAACAGATAAAGCAGATCCTTGTTAGGATCAGGACTTTTTCTACAGAACGATCTGCTAGTTAGCTTGAAAGACAGAGGAAGCACTTTATGTTAGCTGATAGACTCAGTAAGGTTTGAAATAATGTGGGGGGCATGGATGTCCACATGTAAAACCCTCAGTTGCCTGCTAGTGAGCCTTACCTCGGGCTCCCCCAGAACTTGGACTGCGTTGTGGAACAAGCTGGCCCCTAGGTGAGAAGGTGGGTCACAACCTTGTGTCGG